ATCAGACAGTGGCATCACTTTTTATTTTTAAATAATATCAGTTAAAGGGGAAACCAAAATGTTCATCATTTTGAAACTTGATAAGCCAGTTTTTCACTTCATTTCTAATGTATTCAGCTAGAAGATGGACATGATGAAGAATAATCAATGTAAATTGGTAAAGATTGTTATATTTATCTGTTTTCCTTAATAATTATTTTTGGCGATTTACAAACACAAAGTCATAATTAGTAAAAAAGGACGAATTTCTGTTTGATAGATGACAATAAAATGAAAGTACCTTAAAATAAGCTCGGGAAAACAATTTTCTCGAGTAAAATGATAAAATAAGGCCACCAATGGAAAATTTTTTGAGCATGATGATTCAAAATTGGAATGTATAATTGTATATATGCTCTAGTCGAGGAAGAAAAAGACTTCTTACTCTCTCAAGTGATACAATTTGTTAAAGAATTTTTTTTTTTAAATACTACCAAGTAGCTATATGTTTTACATTATCATAATTTGATAGTTGGTGAATTCGTCCAACACATTAAAAATAAAAACCCTCACAAACTTGCTTCTATCCAAAAAAATACAAATTTAATTATTTCCTTTAAATAATTTCCCCGCCATAATTATACTGACAGATTTAACCGAAAACACCCTACCAGCATTCAATTTTGTCTCAATTTCATTGATGCTTTGAAAAATCTAGACAATATAACATGTGATACGGCCAGGATATATCATGTTAAATCTCTCAAAATACTTAGTCTTAACACAACTACAATCTACGCGACATTGAATGGATTTTTGACGAATGCGATTTATCAGGCAACTTTATTTTATGTTTCAACCACATATGTTTCTTATGATTTGATCTGGTCGATGAGTGCTTCTTGCATAAAGTGCAGAGTGTTTCATCGGTGTGAGATTTGAAGTGCTCCTGGAGGTGCCGTAAATTTTTGTATCGGGCTCCACAACTTTCACACTCGAAAGGTTTGTCGTCGTAGGAAGGTCTCGGTCTGGTTCTTTTTCCGAAGTCCCATGATGTTTCTAAAAATTATGATTCAGAAATTAGACCAGACTGAATTTAAAATTGGTGCTATTATTAAATTCTTGCTAGATGTTTTTAAAACGGGTAAATTATAGCTGCTGGAAAAGAAAGTTGAAGAAATTCGAAAAAGAAGCAATAGATCGCTAGGCAAGATGCAAATAAAACAGGGTGTCCTTTGGGAAAAATTTTGGGGAATCCTGATGAAATCCTGATTTTTCCTGATTTTTGACTGCTAAATCCTGATTTCACAATTTTTTCAAATCCTGATTTTTGGCGGAGAAACATTAAAATTTCTGCATAAGCGTGTGCGAAGGCAGGACTTTAGAATTTCGGACGGCCGACTTTTCTCAAATCCTGATTTTACGACTGCGATTTTTCCTCAAATCCTGATGAAATCGGAATTAAATCCTGATTGACCTCAAATCTTGACAGAATCGGGAAAATCGTAAAAATCGTGAAAATCCTGATGCTAAACACCCTGTAAAATGATTATGATATGTTTGTTATTCTCATAAAAATTTCCCGTTGAACGCGATTTGTGCAACGAAAACTATTAAAATTAACTTCTAATTAGACCGTGTTAGACAGAAAGGATCAAAGACACATCAGCTATTGCCAAATGAAATTGGGCAATTTAATTTTCTCATGAAAACGGTTGTGCGGATTTGCCTGCAAACTTCAGTGAATTTTCTACATAATACGAAGCAAATTCCTCAAAATTTTCGGAGGAATCTACACTAACGTTCTCTTGTAAAAAATTAAATTGCCGAATTAAATTTGGCGATAGCTGATGCGGCTTCGTTCTTTCGCGGTCCATTTAATGTTTTTCAATGCATTAATTTAAACCTCCCGCACATCAAAGAATCAATTGTGTATTTGAGTCAAATCGCACACTAAACGTTTCTGAAACAGCCACTGCGGTATTAAAATATGGCGACCTCAATCTCGGTGCTTAGGCTCAGGTGTTGCACGTTGTTAATCCTTTGGACAACACAGCGTGGGGAGGGAGCCTTTCTCCATTTGAGAAGCTTGTCAAAATGGTTGTAATGCGCGATTAGATTCAAGGAGACTCTTTGTTTTCCTTGTGAGCAGGAAATTCAAACTTTCCGAAACCATAATGCTAAATACCAACGTTAATATCTCGGTTAGGAGTTAATTTCAGTAATTTTCGCTGAGTTGATTGTGTCCTGCCTAAAATCTTAGGGAGGAAAATCGTTTTTTCAAGCATTTTCCAGCGATAAATTGCTGAGCCTGGAATGCAAATGCTTCTTAAATCCTTTTGAATGTGCAAAGAAAGTGTATTACAGATCTTGAAATTAACATACTTACATCTTGTGCATTGGATATTATGATCCAAACTCCTTTTGTTGATTTTAAAGTGAATTTGGCCAAAATCATTAACATAATTTACCATTCGGGAGGCAGCAAGTTCCAAAATGCTGGACGCTTCCTTTGACCCGTTATTGTATCTTCTCAGTTGAATACGCAGATTATTTCCGCAGAACGCCCAATAAAATTGAGTACACCTTTCAGGGTATTCGTTGATATTTTTCGAAGTTTCAAAAAGAATGAGAACTCACCTAAAACTTATCGATATGCTCCAGGTTTTCCGTGTAGTCGACGGATCAGATCTTTTTTGCAGCCCTATTCAATGCTAGGCTGGGTATTCAAACTTCACAACTTTTCAAAAAAAAAAAACATTAAAAAAAAATATCCTCATTTTATCCCTTTAAAAGTTAAAAGCAGTTGAGTGTTTCTCCTGTGACTCGGGTTTTTGTATTTGAAAAATAAGTATGACACAAATTGAGAGACTTGGAGGAGAAGGCACATACGTGCAGTTTTTTTTAAAAAATTGAGATACTAATGATTTCAAGTGAAACTAGTCCCAAGGCATATTGTGCGAAAATTTTGCCCCCAAATTCAAATTTTTATACATCAAAAAGTCAGTTTGAACTTCCTTTCCGCCATAAGAATCCATCTAATTTCGAAACTTCAAACACGTATTACTCGAAATATCAAAAACTGCACTAATGCGCCTTGTCCTCCAAGCCCCTTAATTGTGCGGTAATCATCGAACACCTCCTACGTCGTGAAAAGATCACAAAATATTGGCTGTGATACGTACACGTTTGGAGCGAAATGAATTTATTGGAACGCCCCCTCTCTTAGGAGAAAGGTAAGAGAAATTATTTAGCCATCGAAGAGGGAGAGGATGAATATCCATTTTCAGGTTTTAAAATTTCTGCGGGCCTCTTTTTTTACTGGGTTCGTCTGCTTGAGAAATTTAACCGCAGTTATAAAAATATTTACTGAAATAGTGGCATGAAAATTAAAATAAAATAAAGATTGTGTAATACTTTGACAGGCAGAACATCTTCACAGAGATAGTATGGCCACTTGATCCCGAGGAGACTCAGAAAAAACAAATGGACGTACTTCTATCAAACGAAACTATGTGCATTATGACGTGAGCCGTGTTATGCACATATTCTTATGGGTCTTAGGGCTCATGTCTTAATGCACATAAATTCCGTTTGGCAGAAATACGTCCAAATGGCCTGCGAACCTGGATGGAGGGTCAAGCTTTGGTGGTTATCATTGCTCCACTTGTTGTAAAATTTTCGATAGTGAAATTATAGGTTGCCGGCCAGGTTGGCCTAGTGGTTAGCGCGTCTGACTCTAGGTCAATAGGTCCCGGGTTCGAATCCCGGTGGTGGCGACAAATTTTCATGGAACTGACGAGTGGATCTGCAGAAACAGATTTCACCCGGCCTTAATCCCTGAAAATTTGAAAGCCTGGAGCATGGATGTGCCCAGATCCTATAGATGTCTAAGGACAATAAATACTGTCTATCGATGGCTGTAGGTTCCAACGGAACATAATAAGCCAATAAACCAGCAATAAAAAAAAAAAAAAATTATAGGTTAGAAATATTTTTAACGAACGTAATGCTGAAAATTGGTTTCAAAAGTGAGTAAATACGCTGAATTATGTGATTTGAGTCAATTCCACAGCGAAAGAGGCAAATAGAACCTGATTTTCTCTCACTTTCAAAAATCTGCACGCAACAGCAAAATTCACCATTAATTCGGATTCTATGAGCTCCGCCTGAAGTTTTAGATTACTGATTGGGAGCCAATCAAAAAGGGATCTTTAGATGACCATAGTTTCCTTATAAATCTACTCTACGCTGAGAAAAAAAAACGTAAAAACGCTCTTATCGGTAGATAAACGAGCATCATACCACGTATCTTTATTGCAATGTTCAAAAATCTCACTCCCTATTTCATCTCAATGATGGAAAACGAATAGACATCATTCCTTTGAATCCTCATAGAATATTATTGATAGAGGGGATACAAATCAGGGAAGTTTTTAAGGTACGACGTTAAATAGTTTTCTACTGGCATCATAAAGTATGAAAAGAAGTTGACAACGCCAAACAACCGAGATACGTGATTTGATCATTTCATCTTAATGCAATCTACGGCTGGTAATGAAGGATTTGAGCAAATCGCTTTATGAGAGGTACGGTTCATTTTATTCAATTGATTACTTTCATGTTACAGGTGTATGTAGGTATTAAATTAAGATGAAGGAAAATAAAAATAGAAAATAAGAAGAATCTGAATAAATAAAAAAGTTTGCTAGCGAGCCGATTATTGAAATTGATAGACAAAGCTATAGACAAAGAGGACAAAAGAGATATGGAGGGATCCTATTGGTGGAAGCGGTCGGTTGCAATGGACAAACGAGGTAGATAATAGACTAACTAACGGCAACCCACGAGAGACCCGATAGTTAGTCCATCATTTTCTCCTTGAGTCTATAGGAACCACCCATTTTAGCCAATAGGATAGCTTCACACTCCCCATGTTCTCTTTGTCTATCGCTTTGTCTACCAATTCTAATAATCAGCCCGCAGAGCAAGATTTGATTCATGGGGGTGCTCGTAAGTCGATTTGGTGAGCGAGGAGCATATGTCTTGTGTAGTTGGACTTGAGGGAGAAGTTCTTCTGGCACAACTTGCACAGGAATTCCGTGTTATGCGATTTTTCATGGTCCCTCAAGCTGCGGGCATGTTTGTAACGGCATCCGCAGATGGAGCAAATGTGGGGTTGAAGTTGAAGCCGAGGATCTTCGCGGTCGAGGGTGAAAACGTTTCCAAAAGAGGGTTGTTGACGAACTGGAAAACGAAGATAATATTTTAGACGGACACTCTAAGCGATGCTGCCGTGCTGAGGAAGAACGCCGTATGAACATTCGAGGGTTGTCAAATTTCCCCCGATAAAACATGTTTTTTCCCAGGAGAGTTGTTCATAATTGAATCAGTGAGAACAAAAACACACCTACTCGAAAAAATGAAAACAACCAAGACACACACAAAACTGCACAGTGGGTGAAGCGGTTAATCTAAGAAAAATATTTAAGGCGTCGAAAGACTAGTACTTAAGGACAGTTTAGAGGTCCGAGTTGGAACAGATGCGTTAACTTCAATTAAATTCATGAAAATTGACTGTCTTAAATGAAAATTGAGCATTTTCGAGTTACCGAGTTGCTGTGTTTTCGTTCTCACTGATTCAATGTTTCTTGGGGTTTCCCGATATTTCAGATGAAATTGTGAATAAAATTGTCCTAGAAATTGGAGACATAATTTCCACAATTTCCCAGTAAATTCGACTTTTTTCGAGAGAAATATGGCAGTGTCTGACGGATCGTACGGCGTTACTCCTTGGCACGATGATATGGATCAGTTTGGGGTGATCTGGAATAAAAGCGGGTATTTGCACTCCCGTCTTACGCGGAGAAGTTATCGACCAATCAAAAAAGGAGGCTATGGATTCGACAGGCGTAAATCGATTAAAAATAAGAACGTGAACCGATCGAAGTGATTCAATCGCACTGATTTAATCACCAAAATTTGATTGATTCCCGGGGTTTCGATCAATTCACGTTTTAATTTTTCGACTCATTCAAGTCGATCGAATCAAAATCGTCCGATCGAATTCGGGCGTACCGCATTCGATACTCCTTCTTTTTTTTTTTTTTTTTATTTTTTATTTATGAACAAAACTACAGAGTATTAATTGTTTTTACATTATAAGGTTAAAATATGATTAGTAAATGAATTTTTGAGTCTAACTTTAGACTCTAGCTTATTATACTCCTTCTGAGTACGGAAAAGATTCTAGCGAGACATTTTTCGAAAAAGAAAAAAAAAATTCTGAGAGTAAATTGGACTTCAACATAATAAAATGAAAATGTGTTTTTTAACGGAGGCAAAGAGTCATTCCCCGCTGGGAACGACGAGTTACGGGCCAAAAGAAAAAATGTCCTCCGTTTTGCCATATCTTCAATTTTTAAGGCAATAACAGTCTGTTTATGGCATGCGTAGAGGCAAGTCAATGTGCTCTTATCGTCGTCTCCCGCACGAAGGAACGTAACTCCATTTCAAGGTTGCCAAATTGACATAAACAATTAATTTATTTTACAAAAATGTACGTAAGCAATTTGTATCCAAAATATCTCTGTTTTTTGCTTGGAATCTAGAGAAAAATCAGGGAAAATTTCTGTCAGAAATACCCAAAATTCTCCTGATTAATAGGCAATTTTCGAGGGGAAATTTGGCAACATTGGAATGGAGTTACGTTCTTTCGTCCGGGAGACAACGTTATACGCTACGCCGCAGAGTGGATCGAGTCAATCGAAGAGGTTGGACACGAAACTTTTCACTGAAACTGCAAAGTTTTATGTTTATTTCGTCACATTTTAAATTTCAAGGGGTGTTTTCAGAAGAAAAGTTCACGATAAAACTATTGGAGCCACATTCAGATTTTCAAAGTTTTTATATAAACGCAGTTATAAGCGTTTTAAGTGTCCAAATTTTACCCGACCTTTCCTATTGACTCAATCCGCTGTGCGCCGCGCCGCTGTGCGTTAGCACTGATATAATAGACCGTATTCGATAGTGGTTCGATGTATCGTTTGGTTCAAAACAATAGAACATAACCTCAAACCTAACTATTAGGATTTAAGATGGAAAAGCTGAAAATGAGAAAATTTCTAACAATTTCACTTTGCATTGGCATTTGGAACTCAAAAGAATAAAACATCTCTTACAAAAGACCCGTTCCCTCCGATTTCTAAAATGACTTTTGAGGCTATGTTTATGTTTTGAACCAATCGATATCGATACAATCTCACCTGTTTGATGTATCGAATACGATCTATTCTAGTGCTTTGTAGCTTTGATGGAGCTGCGAATTTTCTGGATCAAACCGTAGAGAAAGTAAGCTTGCATAGCTTCTCATGGATTATGTTACTTTATCCTATGAATACTTTTTTCATTTACATTTAATATCCTTAATTTCTTGCTTCTAATTATTACAGGGAAGGGCCCTCTGGCCCCACCTTGTTTTCACACCTTGGTAGTTCGATCTTATGCTCTTACCTTTCCATATTTTTGATCATCTCTGATACGGCCCCGAGACAGCCTTAGGGTAGAAATAAAATCGACGAGTTTTCAAAGATAGAGGAAAAGTTCATCCTCGACAAAGGTAAGAGCTTCCTAAATGTTATATGAACGTGCAGGCTGACAAATAGCTGTTACAAGGGCAGCAGTCGCGAATACCGTGAAAACGAAGAAAAAACAACAGAAGGGTGTCCACAAATTTTCACTTAGAACTGAGAAGCCCATTTTACAGAATTCCTCCTTTTTTGTAGCAGTAAACTACTATTCCAGAATCTGGTTAACAAACTACTAGATGTGAATTCTAGACCATAAAATTCGAAACTCCACAAAAGAGGGAATACCCTCCTATGCACTGCAATCAAGTGTAACGCTTTTTTAATAATCTCTCAAATTCTCCTCTCTCTCTCCCCAACTTAGCGATAAGCCCTGATGAAGACTAGATAAAAGTCACATCTAAGACTAATATAATCTTATCATTTTTTAAAAGGCGTTTTGTAATTACAGAGTATCGCAGATAAAGGAGTTCAGTGATACTTTTGTAATTGCAAGAAAAAGTGTAAAAAAATGAAAAAAAAACTTTACGAACGCTTGACACACGAATGAACTTAAAGCTCAAGTATTGAGGTAAATTGAGAGGTGTTTATCGTGCTCAATGTTTTCCATAAATATATTTCCCGAGACAGATTTTACTCGAAATTTATCAATATCCTTCAGAGTCACCACTGAACTGTTTTTCCGTTATAGCTATTAATTACATATTAGAAAACAGTAAGGGGAAAAAAAGAAAGAAAGAAAGAAAGAAATAAGTCCTGCAATTCAAGTGATTTTTATTTTAATAAGTCGTTCTAAAAAAGTTAATTTTTATAAAAGCAACACTAAATGCCGCCAAATAAAAAAGTCACGGGGCGAGAAGATCGCTAAGTACCAAATTGACCGTAAAGTGAGGCGACCATTGATTATTTTAGTGTATTTCTGCCAAACGGAACTATGTGCTTTGAGACACGAGCCCTGAGATCCATAAAAATATATGCACAACAGGGCTCACGTCATGATGTACTTAGTTCCGTTTGGTAGAAATACGTCCATTTCATCCAGCCATAGTCTTCGAGAATGAAGTTAAGACCCATTATTCGACATATTGAAACCGGGATGTGGAGTGTAGCCAAGTGCTAGAAATTATGTAACATTTTTTTTCTAAAAATCTTACATTTTATGAATAAAATTTGACCGAAGCTTTTCGAAGCAAGCGCTTCATCGTCAGGGTCACGACGTATAAATCACAAAGGCCATAACTTGATTTCAGAAAAGGTAACATATTTCAGTGGTAACAGTTGGTAACTAATTAACAGATCAAATCCAATTTTATATTAACAAAATGTAAGTTTTTTCAGAAAAAATGTTACACTATTTCTAGCGCTTGGATACACTCCACACACCGATATATTCAGTGATACTGCTTTTTGGACATTGTTTAATATAATGTTCGCTGAACTTGAACTATTTAAACCCCCCAAAATCCAAAATGGCCGCTGGTTAAAACCCGTTCTTTTTGTATCTGCGCAGAATGTCACGTGGAGTATACATTTTGCAATGCATTTTTTTTATCTACTGCATTTTGGGGCTCGGGCATGAGCGAGTATCAAGTGTTTTCGCAAGCTGGACACGGATGAAAAACATTTCCCGCATTCTTCGCAGGATGTCTTTCCGAAATGAGATTTTCTGTGGTCGATCAAGTGACAGTAGTTCTTGTAGCTGGCGTTGCAAGTCATGCACACGTGCCGCGTTTCCTCCGAATTGTCGCCGTAGAACGGGATTCCAGATGGTGTTCGACCTGAAATAGTAATACTCGATTGAAATTCAGCTCCGGATAATTGAAAAATGGTAGTGCTCTTCTTACAAACATTAAGGGCAGTTGGTTCTGAATTTTTTTTTTTTCAAAAATTCGATTTTCTATTTTTTATCCCAATAAATCACACACATTCTCAGGATCATTTTAAGCTTTAGTTTTTTTTAAATTCCGGTGATTATTGGAGGAGTTTCAGCTGTTTTTGTCACGCAAGGTCAGGCCAAAAAAAATCATTTCTTCTTCTTCTTTTTGCGATACTGAAAAGTTTAGTTTTTGAACACTCTTGTCCCTTTTTCTCAGGATCTACTGATTTGATTTTCAAAAACTTTTTTTGATAAACAGCTCTAAATTTCCTCTTTAAATTGACATATATTGTTCTGATACGTTGTTAAATACGGTTTTTAGAAGACTTGGAAGTGAAAAAATCATTAAAAATAAAATTAAAATTTTAAAAATAACTCAAAATTTTATTTTTAGCAAAATCGAAATGATAACATATCAATTGAAAGAACACATTTAGACCTGTCTGACAAAAATAAGTTTTTACAGTAGAACCTGAGAAAACTGGGCAGTGACTAGATTTCAATATGTAAGGATAGACAGAACCGACTGGCCTTAAAGGACACGAGCGTAACGAAAGTAATAAAGAAGAACTGGGCAAATGGCAGATTCCTGTGACGGGTAGGCGTAGCAGAGCGCCCCCAGCGCTCCGTAAAAGTGGCTTACACACACACTAAGCAAATTGAGATTTTTTTTTTTAAAGAGTTTTTTGGCTTCTATTCTTCTCAGAATTACAGTTACCTATAGACAGTTAGATTCGGTTTAGGACTGAGGAAAAGGGTAAAAGAAAACAGTAAGTTGGAGTGGATAGAATAAAATAAATAAGAAATCTGTGGTGGGATTTACTGGGTTCTAAATCACCACCATTTTCACGCTTGAGACACCCTGAGCGACTTCCTAACGCTAGAGACCGAGTCTTGGAAAACATACAAAGTGACAAGTTTAGGGAGAAGGCCGTATGAAAAGTACAGATCGATTTCATATTTTTAAATACTATTTTTGTAATCTAAAAACTTGTCGAGTATTTAATAAATAGTTAGGTTTTTTTTTCGAAAATTAGTGAGCTTAGGTTATGNGGGGGGGGGGGGGTGAAAAATTCTTCGTAATTATACATTCCATCTCTATTTTTTAGTTCATTGAAAAATTAGATGTTCTGAATCCCAAATAAGTTCGGGTCAAACACCTAAAAAACTTCGTTATGTACCGCAGTACTTCAGATGTGGGACCCGAACCCTTCGGTATGCACCTAAGTGCTTCAGATGTTTGACCCGAACTTCGGCAGCTGGACCTCAAGTTTTCGGATACGTATGGTCCGAAAACTTTAGAGATCCATATGACCTCAACTTCGGGTCCCATGCACGAAGTTTTTTTTCTCCGAGCACAATCGCGAAGATGCGAGGGAGTAATTTTTAATCTATTTGAGTGGGAATTGAAACGTGATGAAGTCGTATAAACGTCTGGCTGTAAAAAGAAATCAATAATGGCGGTTATATCGTGTCCTAAATCAGCCAAAAAATTTGGCTCCTTTCCACAGTGAACTCGATCCAAATTAGGATTTTTTTCCGAAAGGCTGAGAAGATTTATGAGATATTACCGACATTAGTCTCTCATTTCATCAACTTCCCGAAAGTTGAAGTTGAAACATGGCGCTCTTTGAAAAATCATCGAATAAAAGACATATGGATCCGCTAAAAATAATTTAAATCAAGATGGGTTTTGCGCATGTAAATAGACTTTATTAGAACAAAATTGAATACACACAAATTTCATAAAATTGAGTGCAACATTCAATATAATGGAACGAAGCACGGTTGTGTGTATACGATTTCATGGTAATATTCAGTTTCTTTTCCGAACAGTTAAGTAAAAAACAATTTGATTGAACTAAGTACCTATATGAATTAGAGCACAGTGAAGTTTTAAAGAAGCCGCATAAAAAATTATTTATTTCAGCAAAAACAAAACATAAACGTAAAAATAAACAAGTAAAGGACAGTAAGATATTATTCACTTTTGATTGGTATATCAATGTCCATCACATCAAAGACTTTCAGTTAAATAGTTGATGGTCTTCTTTGGATGCGACACCATAATGCACAGTCACATCAAGCAGCCATGAACGAGTAACAAAAATGTACAAGCTTTTCAAATTGAAGAATAACTATTCACTCTTATGGCGTCGACATATCATACAAAACATTAAGAATATTCTCAATCTTTAACAAAAATAACTATTCCTTTATCTTTCAGTAACTCTGGATCGCTTGTAAAGATTAGTAAAGTTCCCAAAAATTTTGATTCCACGCACAAAATAATTTTAACAGCTATGAATAACAAATTATTTTTAAATTTTCTATAATTTCCTACTTTGGTCAATGATCCGTCAATTCGGATGAATGTTCAACTGACAAATTTCAGAAGTTGCTGGCACGTTTAGATCCCGAGACTGGTTTGTGCTTCATTTGATTGTGCCAGCGACTGGATGAGCAACAATCAAATTTCAATGCAAGTTAAATAAAATAGTTTTCATCGTGTACGCATTTTACTTAAAAGTTTGCAAATGTCCAATGACAGGGCTAGACGAGGATATTAAACTGACCACCACTTGCTATAATTTCTTTGTGAATCACACTGAATGTGTCAGGCATAGGCGGATCTAGCAATTAGGCAATACCGGATTCCCTCCATTTAAACCTATGTTAAATAATCGATTCTTGTCGGAGCATCTGACCCCTCCAAGAATCGATGCATTTTCATAGGTTTAAATGAAGAAAAACAACGTTGCCAATTTGCTGGATCTGCCAATGGTGTCAGGAGAGATGATAGCTTCATGGCACGAAGAGTTTGACTAAACGCCTGATTTATGGACCATGAGGACGTGCATGCGATAATTGGCTTTGTTCGAGAAATTTTTTTTGCAGACACGGCAGAAAGTTTCTCCGGTATGACACTTTCTGTGGTCTCGAAGATGTCGGTAGTTCTTGTAACTGGCACCGCAGATATGACACGTGTGAGGTTTCTCTCGATCCAAAGCAAAGAAACCGTGAGCAAACATGCTTCTTGGATCTGGAATACACAAATAAAGCATTAATACAAATAATTTATGCAGTGACGATTCTTAAAAGTTGGCAACACTGATTTTCCTCCATTCAAGGCCTGGATACACGCTCAAATTTCCGCCAATTTCCGTTCAAAATGATGACAAAAATGGCGGTCGAGAGTTATCTAGATTGATGGGTAAAATTAATTAAAACAGCGTGTTGATTGAAATAAGCATGAAATAAGCATGGTTGTGTGGAAATCAGATGACGGATGAGACCCAAAGTTCCATCATCTACCGTCAAATTTTTGCAGGCCGCAAAAAATTGATGGTAGATGGTGCGCACCAGTCACCATTTGATTGGAAATTGGTGGAAATTTAAGCGTGTATCCAGGCCTTAATACAAAACAATCGATTCTAGATG